CACACACACACACACACACACACACACACACACACACACACACACACACACAAACACACGCACACACAAACACACACACACACACAAACACACACACACAAACACAACACACGTAAGTAGGCATGTACGTGTACGCCCAAATGTGTACCCTATGATAGCGTAATCGAAATACATACAATATATTGGTAATACATCGATGGATGAATGGATGTATATATCATTTATGTCGAAACATGTGACTACCCAAGGCATTTGGGTAATATATGTGTTTGTAGCGAGAGAGCGCAGCATTTCGCAATAATTACTGTGCTCTTAATAGTCCAAATACATAAATTTCTCTCGTGATTTATTCCTAATGACGGGAATAAATAAGAGACAAAAGAGACTCACTAATTTGCGTGATTAAGGAGAGTTCTTGAATCAAAAGGGATTATCGGAAGGTGTTTGTATCGATTCAGATCCCTTCTGATACGCAGGATCGGGGAAACCATTTCATTTATTGATAATTTAGGGAAAGTGTTAGAAGTAAGGCAACATAGGGAGAAAAAACAACAACAACAACATAATCTTCCCTTAATTATAATAACTCGATATAATAAAAGTATCTAACAGATCAACAATCCTTACCGCATTTACAAGACAAAAATATAACTAGAGGAAATGTAATTGAAGAATATTTTATTTCATCTATTTATTTATTTTAGCGTTAACTGCAATTCATTCAGCCGAGGTTTTACCCCCTCGTGTAAAAAAGGGTATTTAGCGTTGTGTTAGCAGGCAGGAAAATAAGTTATCTTCCTTTGTGGTCGTTTGAAATGGGAAAACCAGACGTTCGTAGGAAATATTTCTTTTATGAGTATGTCTTTGTTGATAAAACGATAAAATCTTGAGCAGTTACGTACGGAAGCGGTCTTGACAACGAGCCTTGAATACGGACCAGAAAACATCCCTTGAAATCATTTTTACGTTGAGAATTCGAAGCTTTAAGGGGGAGGGGGAGGAAGAGGAGGTGGAGTTGGAAGAGGTGGAGGTGGAAGAGGAGGAGGAGGAGGTGGAAGTGGTGGTTGAAAAGAAGGAGGAGGAGGAGGAAGAGAAGAAGTTAAAGAAGAAGAAGGAGGAGGAGGAGGGAGAGGTAAATATGTAGGTAGAGGAGGAGGAAGGAGAGGTAAATATGGAGGTAGAGGAGAAGAAAGAATAGATGATCATAGACGAGGAGGAGAATTAGATTTAGATTAGATTTAGTTTTAATTCCATTTGTTATAATGGATATTCTTTGCTGTGACATACTGTTTTATTTTGCTTCCAAATCTCCCCCTGTGTGCAAGGAATGGCCGGGGTTACCATCCACAGGCCTGCTCGGGATCGAACGCCGGTCAGCAAGATTACTAGACCAACACGCTAACCGCTGCACCAGCATAGCACACAAGAGAAGAGAGAACCAATAAAAGATAAGAGACACTAAGCTTAAAAACACATTTCATTTTATCGTATTATTCCCCAAGTTACCAACAGGGCTTGAAACCTTATTAGAAAACATCCCTTGAAATATTTTTTACGTTGTGAATACGAAGCTTTAAGAAGGAGGAGGAGGAGGAGGAGGAGGAGGAGGCGCAGGTGGAGGTGGAAGTGGAGGCTGAGATGGAGGTAGAGGTGGAGGTGGAGGAGGAAGAAGAAGAAAAAGAGGAGGAGGAGAAGAAGAAGAAGAAAAAGAAGAGGAAGAAAAAATGAAGAAGACAAGGCGGAGGAAGAGAAAAATATGTAGAGAGAAGAAGGATGAAGATCAATATGAAGCTGAAGATGAAGAATGCGAAGCATTAAGAAGGAGCAGGAGGAGAATGAAGATGAGAAGGAGAGAAAAAAAAAAAAAAAAAAACACGCAATGATATAAGTAAGATGACAAGGGGAAGAAAAAAAAGAAGAAAGAAAGAAGAACCGACACGCAATGATAAAAATAAAAACACCCAACAAAGTGCAATTTCATTTGATCTTAATTTCCCTTAAGCACTGAACTTCCCCGCGAGTCAAAGCCAACACCGAGATCAGCTCACGACGGTCTTGCAAATCCAGCGATCCTCATGATTATCATAATTGCAAAATGGCCGCAGATTAGATCCGACAGTTGCTAATAAATGCGATCGTTCCCGCCACCCCGAAATTAGCTTTCCTTTTCGTTAAGAGCCTACGTGAATCAGGCCTCTTTCGTTGCTCTTCGGGGTGGAGGGTGGATGGATGGGTGGGGTGGATGAGAGTGGATAGGTGAGGAGGAGGTGGATGGGTGGGGGGTGGAAGAGTGGGTGGGAGGAGGAGGGTGGATGGGTGGGGGTGTGGAGGTGGATCGGGTAGGTGGATGGAGGATGGGATGGGGGTGGGGGGTGGAGAGTGAGGGTGGGATGGATGGGGTGAGAGTTGGGTGGGGAGGAGGGTGGATGCGTGGATGGGGGAGGAGGAGGGTGGAACATGGGTGGAGAGTGGAGGAGGGTAGGGGTCGGAATGGGTGGACGAGTGGATGGGTGGATGGAGGTGGATAGGGGTGAAGAGTGGGTATGAGAAGAAGAAGGAGGAGGGGTAGAGAGTGGAGATGTATAGGGGAATAGGGGGGTAAGGGTGGGGGGGGATGGTGGTGTTTTCAGCGTTTTTTCAGGATGTCTCTAATGCCTTAAATGGGGGTTGGCTTTGAAGAAGGTTCCCCGATCTGGTAGAGGAGTGTGAGGTAAAGGGACATAGGATAATAATTTGTTAATGTGTGTGCTTGGGTTTGGATGGGGGTGCGTGTAACTCAGTTATTTACTCTTATTTCGGTCACGTACTCGTTCGCTCACTTATTCTCTCTCTCTCTTTCTCTCTCCTTCTCTGTATGTCTCTCCATCCATCGCCTCCACTCCCAGTTTCCCTCCTCTTGCTCTCTCTTTCCTTCTTCTCTCTCTCTCTCGCTCCTTATTCTCTCTCTCTATCTCTATCTCTCTCGCTCCTCTCTCTCTATCGCTCTTATTCTCTCTCTCTATTCCTTATTCTCTCTCTCTCTCTTTCTCTCGCTCCTTATTCTCTCTCTCTCTTTTCTCGCTCCTTCTCTCTCTATTCTCTCTCTCTCTCTCTCTCTCTCTCTCTCTCTCTCTCTCTCTAATCTCTCTCTCTCTCTCTCTCTCTCTCTCTATCTAAACCTTTCAATCCTCTCCTCTCTACCTCTATCATCTGTGCCTCTTGTATTATTTCCCTCCTTTCTATTGATCTACTGTTCTGTCCGTCTATTATGTTCTTCACTCTGTCTCCATCATAAATCACACACACACTCTCTTTCTCTTCTCTTCCCTCTCTCTCTCTCTCTCTCTCTTTCTCTCTTTCTTTTCCTTTTTTTCTCTCTCTCTCTCTCTCTCTCTCTCCTCTCTCTCTCGTCTCTCTCTCTCTCTCTCTCTCTCTCTCTCCCTCTCTCTCTCTCTCTAATCCAGAACCTGGTAAACATACTTTCATTCTCAGTAATACGTGTGTGTGCGTACAAGTGAACGGTTCTTTACCCGTACAAACAAGGACATGAAAGGTATTAAACCTCTATAAAACATTACATTAAGGTAGTGCTAAGGAAATCGAAATGATGTTTACTTGTCAAACGAAATTAATTGGTTCTTTTGGTAACGCAAACTGCAATGGAAAGTGTGTCTTGAGAAAGAAGGGTATTACTTACCACGACATTTAAGGTGAACGCTAATCGTCTATTGTTATCACTAATGACCATAATTCTTTTATTATTATTATTATCATTGATTTTCTTTGGTGTTTCTTTTGTCCTTGTCAGTTTAATTATCATTATACTATCATTGTTTTTCTTTTTACTATTGCTAATCACAGTCTTAATTGATATAATTATAACTGATTCCTAAATAATCTTATTATCTTTATTAATCTTTATCAGGGTTACCTTCATCATTTTCATCATTGTCCTAATTATCATCTTATGCACAATTTTGCTATGATTATTGTCGCTGATTTTAATATCACTTGTAGTTATCACTATCATATGTTATTAGTCTTTATCAGGGATACTTTATAGTGATTTTTGCTAGCATTATCTTTATGTAAGGATAATTAAAATTAGGATCATTATCATAAAAATGACAAAAATTATAATGATAAAAAAATATTTTTTTCTTTGATAACATACATTCTTTACGGTTATTTTATTGCACACTGCCATTGTTATCATTATTTTTGTTCTTGTACCCATAGCGCCTATGGTGGCAACTACAACGAATTTTGCTCTACTTTCCGGTCACATATCAAGCTATTTCTGTGGTCTTAGATTTCAACATTATTTCTCAAGATTTAAGTCGTGACCAAAAAAAGTCTAGTTTTTCAATCAACTGGATTTTCCTCGAAACACCGACTTCTTTGAAGTAAATACTCAGCTTTTTGTAGGTTTCTCTAGTAAAAACTGGGGGTACTTTGATTTTAACGTTACATGGCATCATTATTTTTTTTTCGTTCTCATCTATAACACACACAAACACACACACATACATATGAGTGTGCATCATATATATATATATATATATATATATATATATATATATATATATATATATATATATATATATATATATATATATATATATATATTATATATAATATATATATATATATATATATATATATATATATATATATATATATATATATATATATATATATATATATATATATATATATATATATATAATATATATATAATATATATATATATATATATATATATATATATATATATATATATAATATATATATATATGTGTGTGTGTGTGTGTGTGTGTGTGTGTGTGTGTGTATTAATATATATATATATATATATATATATATATATATATATATATATATATATATATATATATATATATAATATATATATATATATATGTATATATATATATTATATATATATATATATATATATATATATATATATATATATATATATTCATTACTCTTTCTCTCTGGCTCCTCTCACTCTCGTTCTAAACATCAGTTACTGTGTGGCCGTCCTCCTTAAATCCCTTTATATTTTTGAATAAAGAGTCTTCTTCTGACCTCTTTCGGGCTGATATTCAAGCGAACAGAATTATCCCAAAAGAATGAGCATTTAAAGAATTAAGTTGGCGTTTCAATCCCTTTGTGCAAGATTTTGACATCCACTAATTACAAAGTAATAACGAGAAACGTAAAAGTGATCGTTATTACTTTTATATTTATTATAATAATAATGTAACCGTGATAAATTTTATGAACATTATCGTTTTTATGATAACAAGAGCGAGAGCAATAAAAAAAAAATGCTAATAATTTGCTAAGAACGCGTCACATAATGTATGGAAATACTATAACATCTGCATCATCAAATCCCAGTTGACATTTCTACATATCTGAGAAAAGAAATAAAGAAGAAAAAAGAAAAAAAAGAAACCATTCACCTTGAAAAAGTCTTATTCAAACACCTACTCCTAAAAAATTCCCATTCCGAAAAGAACATTCCTGTACCTTTTATTCTTGAAAGGGCCTTATACGCTGACAATTCAAGGTATGCATTA